ATCCTCTTCTTAGCCCTATAGCGCACCTCCCGCACCCGGATCCTACACGCCCCCTCCCCGGGAACTCGCACTCCATTCCCCTCCTCGCCACTGCAGCCACTAAAGGGTTACGGCCAGGACGGGCGGCGCCCAGGAGCGCGCTGGGAGCCGCTGGGAGGTGTAGTCCTTCAGGGAGGCGGTAGCGAGTCCTCGGGGTGGGGTCCCCGAGCTGGTGGACGGGGGGCTTCCGGGCTGTGGGGCAGGCTTCGGGGCAGTTACCTGGCTGGGAGGTGGCGGAGGAACCTGACTTCCCACTGCCTGGCGCCGGCGGGATGCGGGCGCAGGTCTCAGGCCCCGGGTCGCCGCTGTCTCTGCGGTTGGGGGAAGTCACCCAGCTAGCCTGGGACAGGGTCGGCACCCCCAGGAGGAAACAGCAGCGACGAGCCAGAGCGGAGTCGCTCGCAGGTGCGCGCAGGGCGTGCACAGGTGCGCGGTACGCGCATGCCCTAGGGACTCGGTGGGGACCCTAAGCACCAACGAACAGTCATACCTAACTCATAAACAAACATCATCACTGCCGGCCCGGTCAGAAGTGCAGCCAAGCAACAACAACAACAAAAAAGGCGGGGAGGCAGACCCATTTCAGATGGTTGTGTTGGAGAGAGTCTCTGAAATCAGAAGGCACCAGCCCGCAAAAAGGAAGAAACCCGACATGTTGGGCGGAAGGAAAAAGTGAAAAAGCCCTGCGGCGAGAAAGAGATTGGTCACTGAAAGAGCTCAAAGAAGTCCTGTGTAGCTGGAGTGTAGCTGCGGGTAGTGATGGGAGGTGAAGATAGAGAAGCAAACAGGACCCAGGTCAGGTCCAGCTTATCCGGGTGTGGTGGTGGGCGCCTGTAGTCCCAGACACTTGGGAGGCTGAGGCAGGAGAATTGCTTGAACCTGGGAGGCGGAGGTTGCAGTGAGCCGAGATCGTGCCACTGCACTCCAGCCTAGCGCCAGAGCGAGACTCCGTCTCATAAAACAAACAAACAAGGAAAAACACCCAGAAAGACAAATACCTCATGGTTCCACTTTTATGAGGTATCTAAATAAACACATGGAAACGGCAAGTAGAATGGTGGTTGCCAGGAGCTGCCGGGAAGGAGGAAATGGGTAGTAGATATTCAATGAATATAAAGTTTTGGGGTTTTGGCCAGGCGCAGTGGCTGACGCCTGTAATCCCAACACTATGGGAGGCCGAGGGGGGGTGAATCACTTGAGGCCAGGAGTTCAAAACCAGCCTGGCCAACATGGTGAAACCCCGTCTTTACTAAAAATACAAAAATTCGCTTTGAGATCCTGTCTCAAAAGAAAATAAAATATTTAGGTTTTTGTTGTTGTTGAGACAGGTCTCACTCTGTCACCCAGGCTGGAGTACAATGACGCAATCTTGGCTCACTGCAGCCTCGACCTCCCAGTAGCTAGGATTACAGGCGGGAGCCACCATGCCTAATTTTTTGTATATTTTAGTAGAGACAGGGTTTTACCACGTTGCCAAGACTGGTCTCGAACTCTTGACCTCAAGCGATCCACCCGCCTTGGCCTCCCAGAGTGTTGGGACTACAGGCGTGAGCCACCGTGTCCAGCCTGAAAGTGATTTTCTAATTGTCATTCTTAATATATTTGATAGAATCCATCTGTCAAGTATAGCTTTACCTCATTGACCAAGGCTATTTGGTTATCCTGACTAAAAAGACAGGATAAGCTCTTTTTTATTTTTTATTTTTTTGAGACAGGGTCTCACTCTGTCACTCAAGGCTGGAGTGCAGTGGTGTGATCATTGTTCACTGCAACCTCGAACTCCTGGGCTCAGGTGATCCTCCAATCTCAGCGTCCTGAGTAGCTGGGACAATGGTGCATACCACCACACCTGACTAATTTTTGGGTTTTTTTTGTAGAGATGGGGTTTTTCCATGTTGCTCAGGCTAGTCTCCTTGTGATTTTTTTTTATCACTTTGTTTATTTCCGGTTTTCATTTTTGTTTCTTCTTGCCCAACTGTGGCTAGTTGAACATTTTTTAGAATACCAGTTTGACTTACCTATAATTTTATTTTTAATTGACAAATAATAACTGTATACATTTATGGGGTACAGTGTGATGTTTTGTTACATGTATATATTATGGAATGATCAAATTGGCTGGGCACGGTGGCTCATGCCTGTAATCCCAGCACTGTGGGCGGCTGAGGCAGGTGGATCACCTGAGGTCAGAAGTTTAAAAACAGCCTGGCCAACATAGTGAAACCCTGTCTCTACAAAATATACAAAAAATTAGCCAGGGGTGATGGTGCATGCCTGTAGCCCCAGCTATTACAGAGGGTGAGGCAGTAGAATCACTTGAACTCGGGAGGTGGAGGCGGCAGTGAGCCGAGATCACTCCACTTCTCTCCAGCCTGGGCAACAGAGTGAGACTCCATCTCAAGAAAAAAGAAAAAACAACAAAAAAAGATCAAATCAGGCTAATTAGTATATCTATTACCTCAAATATCATTTATTTGTGATGAGAACATTTAAAACCCTCTTTTAGCTATTTTGAAATATACATGGTTATTAACTAGTCACTACGCTGTGCAATAAACCACCAGAACTTCCTCCTCCTAACTGGAACGTTGTACCTTTTGACCACAACCCACCCCTCTCTCCTCCAGCCTCTGCTAACCACCATTCTACTGTCGACTTCTATGAATTTAGCTTTTTTTTTCTTTTGAGACAGGGTCTCACTCTGTTGCCCAAGCTGGAGTGCAGGTGCACTATCATGGTTCACTGTAGCCTTGGCCTCCCTGGCTTAAGCAATCCTCCCACCTCAGCCTCCCAAGTAGCTGGTACTACAGGCATGTACCATCACACCCAGCTAATTTTGTTTATTTTTTATAGAGACAGGTTTGCCATGTTGCCTAGCCTGGTCTCAAACTCCTGGGCTTAAGCGATCCTCCCACCTTGGCTTCCCAAAGTGCTGGGATTACAGGCACGAGCCACTGCCCCAAGACTTCTTTTCAATTCCAGGCGTAAGTGAGGTGATGTGGTATGTGTCTCTGTGCCTGGTTTATTTCACTTAGCATCATGTTGTCTAGGTTTATCCATGTCACAAATGACAGAACCTTCTGCTTTCTAAGGGCTGAATAGTATTCCAACGTCTATATATACTTTTTTTTTTGAGACACGGTTTCAGCTCTGTTACCCAGGCTGGAGTGCAGAGGTATGATACAGCTTACTGCAGTCTCAAACTTCTGGGCTCAAGCGATTGATCCTCCCGCCTCAGCCTTCTGAGTAGCTGAAACTATAGGCATGCACCACCACGCCCACCTAATTTTTTATTTTTTTGTAGAGACTGAGTTTCCCTATGTTGCTCAGGCCAGGCACAAGGTCTAAAGCAATCCTCCCACCTCAGCCTCTCAAAGTGCTGGGATTACAGGCATGAGCCACTGCACCTGGCCTTTAGTTATTATTTCTTTGAATACTTTTTCCATTCTACTCTCTTCCTCCTTAACCTTCTGAGACGCTAATCATGAATGTTAGCACTTTTGTGTAGTCCTACAGATCGGTGATGATCAGTTTTATGTGTCAACCTGACTGGGCCGTGGGGTCCAGATTCCAGGAATTTCTCTGCTGTGTGGAGCCTCAGGTCCTGAGGATCCCGGCCAGGATAGGCTGCCTTCTCTCCATCGCTCAGTCTTTTAGTTTGTTTTATATGTAACATCCAGGGTTGTTAACTGTACATAGTGGGAGGAATACGGAAAACACCTACTTCATTTTTCCAGAAGCAGAAGTCAGAGTAGAGTCAGTACTTATCTCTTTTGATGTTCAAATTGTCTCATCTTTGGCCAGTGGAACAAGCGATTATTCTTTGATAGGTTCCTTATACTGAAAGGTACTCCAGGCGGGTCCTCCTTGTACCCTCCATGTGCCAACTTTGGCATCAGCCTTTTCTACAAGGGGCCCTGGCTGGTCTGGGCCGGTCCTGGGAGCCCATCTGCCTTAGTCTTCTCGAGCTGCTATAACAATGCCACAGACCGGTGGCTTACACCACAGAGATTTCTTTCTCACAGTTCTGGAGGCTGGGAAGTTCAAGATCAAGGTGCCAGCAGACTCCGTTCCTGCTGACAGCCCTCTTCCTGGCCTTGTAGACAGCCACCTTCTTGTTGTATGCTCACATGGTCTTATCTGGTGGTGCGTGCATGTGGACAAAGGCTTCAGCATATGAATTCTGGAGGAACATGAACATTCAGTCCATAACATTGGCAATGTTCCCCTTGCCAATGAGTGGTTCAGGCATGGTCGCTTCTCTCTTCCTAAAGAAGATGGCAGTGGCTAGGTGCAGTGGCTTACACCTATAATCCCAGCACTTTGGGAGGGCAAGGCAAGTGGGTCACCTGAGGTCGAGACCAGCCCAACCAACATGGAGAAACCTCGTCTCTACTAAAAAAAAAAAAAAAAATACAAAATTAGCTGGGAATGGTGGCACATGCCTGTAATCCCAGCTACTCGGGAGGCTGAGGCAGAAGAATCGCTTGAACCCAGGAGGCAGAGGTTGTGGTGAGCCAAGATCGCACCACTGTACTCCAGCCTGGGCAAGAAGAGTGAAACTCCGTCTCTAAATAAATAAGATGGCAGTGAAACCTGGGCAAGAAGAGCAAAACTCCATCTCTAAATAAATAAATAAAAGATGGCAGTGAAACAAGGGCAATCTCCTTTCTGTACAAGGGGCATTTGGCTTTGGGGCGGCCAACTTGCTGCTAGCCTGAGGACATGGCCAGAGGGCAAAGACAGCAGAGCCAAGAGCATCCCAGGTCTGGGAGACAGAACCCTGATTTTCCTCTCATTAGACAAGCAGATGCATTTTGGTCCTCAGTTGGCCTCACCTGTGACCACCTTCAATCAGCAACTGAGAAAAGAAAATGAGCGATGGACCAAGGAGGCCCGTATGTCACTTGTTTCTCTCACCAAAACCCTTGATCTGAACCCAAACAGAACCCCTGCACACATTCCTTTATACTTCTGTTTATTTTTCCTGCTCATGAAAACAGCCAACAATTGCCTTTCGAGGGAAGGGAAGGTAATGCTGGGAAACGTCCTCAGGAGCCCTGAGCCGAGTTCTCAAGAGAGAAGTGAGGCAGCTGGGGATCTGGGAGGCCAGAGTCCAGGCCAGGACCTCAGCATCCTAGAACTAGGGCTGCCTCCTGAAGAGCAGTTCAGAGGGAGTGATTCCATACAGGCAGGGCGGCTTCACACAGGCCTGGAATGCCCTTCTCCTCAGCCCAGGGAGCTCATTAGGGTCTGGGCCTGCTTCAGTTCTGTAGAGGGAAGAGGTGAGCAGCCGGGAGGCAGTCAGGCAGGATCTGGGAGAGCCTCTCACCCGTCGAGGAAAGCTGAGCCTCACCTGTCAGGAGGACCTGGAACTTGTCTGCTGAGAGGGACATGGCAACAGGCTGGGCTGGGGTCCCTGGGGCAGCTGCCACCTCCAGCCGCAGGTGCACCATGGGCTCTTCCACGGACCGCAGCAAGCTGGAGCTCAGGGTGTAGTCCACCCGCCAGCCCACGCCTGCCAACCTATTCACTGTGAGATAGGGTGGGTGGCTCTCAGGACCAAAGGCAGGCAAGCCAAGTGGCTCTCAGCTGACACCCTGGCTAAGCTCTCAACCCTTCAAGGCTATGTGGCCTCTAAGAAGCTCCCATCCCGCTGACCCAGGCTCATAACAGGGCAGGTGCCCGATAATCAGTTCGGATCACCTACAGCAGACCTCAGTGGCAAGAGGTCTTGGCTGGACTCTGGGCTGGAGTCAGGAGACCCAGGGCCAGGTCCCAGCTCTATGGCTGCTAGTAACCATGTGACCATGGTTAAGTCATCTCCCTGGAACTAGCACTTTGCATGCTGCATGCACCTTCTAGAATGAGCCCAGACCCTGGCTGGCCTCATACTTACTTCGTAGGCTGCAGACCCGCAAGTGCTTCTGCAAGGGGCTTTGCTTCTCCTCATAACAGCGGCACAGGCTGGCCGCGTGCTCTAGGGGTAGAATGGAGTAGCTCTGGAGGTAGCAGGTGGGGGCTGGGCTTGGGTTCCTGGCCCAGACAGGGCAGGGTACACCATAGGGTCACAGGGCCTGGCCCCCTCTCTAGCAGCCCTTGGCCCACAGGCTGCCCAGCTGCTCACCCACAACCCATACCTTTGGGCAGCCCCAGCTGCTGCAGTTCACTGGACAAAGATTCGCCATCGACACTGTGCTTGGCCGCACTGGAGAGGATGAAACTCAGCACTGCCACTGTGGCCTTCACATCGCCTGACTCTGAAGGACCCGTGGGTGGGACAGAGGGTGTCGCTGTGGGCCCAGCCACCTCCCTGTTGCCCTATTAACTTCAGCACAAAGCTCCCAGGCCTCCTGGAGCCACAGGCACTGCTCCTGCTCCACCAGGAGCTGGCAGAGAACAGGAAGGTGGGACTGTCAATGTCTTTCTTTCCCTCATGCTCCTCCACTAGGGAAGGTAAGTTAAGGATGCAGCAGGGAGGGGTGGGGGGGTCCCTCTATACCAGGCACCAGGCCGAGGTCCCAGGGTTGCCTGGGGCCTGTGGACTCAGCGGGGTACTCACCAAACTTGGTGTCAGCCGTGAGCTTCAGGATCTTCTCATACTATAGGGAAAGGAGACCTTCAGGGGATGCCAGGCCCGTGCTCACCAGCCCCTCACCCCCAGCCTGGGTCCTGTGATAAGGAACAGACAGGCTGGAAAGAAGTATGGGAGGTGCCCAGAGAGGTTGACAGGCTGGGTCACCCGTCTCCCTGGGCCTAGTGCAGAGCTTCAGGGCACTGGGGGTCATAAGGTCATGGGACAATGGGGTGCTGGGTCTTGTACTCACATCAATTCCCTGCCCCAGCAGCTCCTTTAGTACCTGGCTGCAGAGAAGCCGCAACTTCACAGAGGACTGCAAGAGAATTCCTTAAATCAGCCAGGCTGGCGAACCTCACCCCTCCTTCCTGGGGACTGGCTCAGAGCAGGCCAGCCGCTGATCACGGTCACAAAGCATGGTAGCACAGGCTGAGAGCACTGAGGCCCTAACCCCAGAAACCTCACCATCCTCTACACCCACAATCCCCAGCCCAGCGCCCCTCCTCCACCCAGAGTAGACCCGGTGCACTCAACCATCTTGGCCAGCGTGCTGATCTCAGCCAGGACCCAGTCGGGACAGTCCAGATCACCACAGAACCGGAACCTCTGCAAGGGAGGGAGGCAGGTACTCAGGCTGGAGGGAGGGCTGAGGTGTGGCCAGGATCCGTGTGTCTCCCACACTGCTGCCCGGCAGGGACCCCTGGTCCCCATCATAGGTGGATACTCTCTGGCCTCTTGTTCTCCCCTATCACCAGGCTGTTGAGTGAACTCTCTCCTGACCCACCCTGCCACCAAACCCTGCTCCGAGGTCTACTCCAGGCATCTGTCTGCTCAGCAAACATCAATCGAGCACCTTCTCTGTACTAGCTCCCACTCTTAAGTGCTAGGGGTACTGCAGGGGATAAAACAAATTCCTCTGCCTCACACAGATGAGTAACCTCTCTCCCCTCTTCCCCATACCCACACAACTCCAGCCACTCTGGCTTCCCTGCTGCTGCTCAGGGACACCAGCCTTGCTCCTGCCTCCATGCCTGCTGCACTCTGTGTGGCTTGGTATCCCTTTTTTTTTTTTTTTTTTTTGAGACAGAGTTTCACTCTTGTTGCCCAGGCTGGAATGCAATAGTGCAATCTCCACTTCCCAGGTTCAAGTGATTCTCCTGCCTCAGCCTCCCAAGTAGCTGGGATTACAGGCATGTGCCACCACACCCTGCTAATTTTGTATTTTTAGTAGAGACAGGGTTTCACCATGTTGGCCAGGCTGGTTTTGAACTCCCGACCTCAGTTGATCCGCCCGTCTCAGCCTCCCAAAGTGTTGGGATTACAGGCATGAGCCAGTGGCTTGCTATCCTGTGACACCTCATCAGATCAGCCCTTCTTTTTTAAAAAAATAAAAAATAAAAAAATAAGACAGAGTCTCCCTCCATTGCCCAGGCCATGCTGGTCTCAAACTCCTCACCTCAGGTGATCCACCCTCTTTACCCTCCCAAAGTGCTAGGATTACAGGCATGAGCCACCGCGCCCGGCCAGGACATCCCTTCTTTATTATACTTCTTAAAATAGCCCCTCACACAAGGAAATTTTGGGGGCGCGTGGATATATTCATTATCTTGATTGTGGTGATCCAAGAGCCAGGAAGATTTGATCTTTACTTATGCAACCTCATCTTTCCCTAACCTCCAGATGATACTCTCCCAGCTATGGGAAATGCATTCATTCCTGGGAAGCCATGCTCTCTCTAACCTGGTCTCTGCACATGCTGTTCCCTGTCTGAAGACACATGCCTCCCACCCTTGCCTCCCAACCCCTGGTACACAAACTGTACTTCAGCCAGCCAGCTCCTGCCATCCACCTTTAAGGTTGATGGCACCCTCAGGGAGCCCCACTTAGCACTACACACAAGGCGTGGTTAGGTCTCTGCCCCCGGAGCCTTAACTATGACTGCCAGTTCAAGCCTCCGATTTCCCCTTCCCCAAGCAGCTCAAGTCCTCCCAGTGCCTAGCACACTTCATGGTATAGACTAGGCACTTAGAACGTATGGATGGATGGATGGATGGATGGATGGATGGATGGGGAGATGGATGGGTGGGGGGAGGGAGGGAGGGAGGGATGGATGGATCTCAACCCCAGAACTACTACTTTCTGGCTCTGGAAAGAGCGGAGGGGCTTCCTAACAGTGTGCAAGAGTGAGCCTGAGTCTAAGCACATTCTTGTCTAAGTCCCACAGCAGGGCTGGGGAAGGGGGTGTCCTTGGGAGGTCCTCTTGGAGCTGGGGAAGACCTGAAAGGACTCCCAGCTCGAGATAAGCCCTAGTTCCTGCCCCGGGAGACAGGGGCCCTTCCTTTCGCTCGGGAAGCACAGGGACTCTAAGCCGACCCACCTGCTCTGTCTTACCCGCCCCCCACCCCCGCCTCCGGCTCCGGAGCGGGATGGCAGTGGACTTTTCTCCACCAGACCCACAGCCCTCACGCCCGCACACAGTGTTTGCCGAGAGGCCAGTACAGACAACCCCCCCCCCCCGCCCCCGTTTCCGGAGCCACTTGGCGCCCCCTCATTCCCGCTCCAGCAACCTAACCCTCCCTTAGTCCCTGGTGCCTCACCATCGCGCCAGGAAGCTAGGGCCCGGGAATTCCTTTTTCCGGTCCCGCAGGGTCAGCTGAGTCGATGATCACGTGACTGGGACTAACCGCCTCTGGGAGGGCGGGGCTTGCTCGCGTGAGACTGGGAGCGGACCGCAGCCCACTGGAGGTTCCCGCAGCGAACTGCTGGCGTCTCTTCTTCTGTCTCCCAGAATCCTTCCCTGGACAAAACTGGCGCCAACCGCCAGTTTAACTGAGGACTGAATTAAGACATTAGGAAAGACAGTGGAAGTTATTTCATTTGTTTAACTTAAGGGGGTAGGATCCCGGGAGCCAGGGAGATTCAGGTCATTGCCATGTTTTCCACTGTTAAGCAAATAGTATTATACACAGCTGCGGGCTGTGGCAAAAGACATTTTAAAAACTATTGAAATGTACTACATATACAGAAAATTGTACCTATTATAAATATAAAGCTTAATAAGTTTTCGTCAACTGTGGAGCTCACATAACCAGCACCCAGATAAGGACATAACCAGATAACTTCTTCAAGTGCATGGGTATTTTATTTCATTTTGATGAATCTTCTAGGTGCCTAGCAAAAAGGGCTGTCATAACTAATATGCTCAGGAAACCGCCCTACAGCTTCAACATCAATAGATACTTATCTTAATTTTTGCCAATCTGATGGGGAAGAAAAATAAGTTGCTTAGATTGCATTGGTAGTCTGCTTACTGGTAACTGAGCAAATGCGTAGACTAGAACAACTAAGTTTCCGACATTGACTTGAAGAGGCAAAAACAGAAAGATAGAACAACAAAAATACATTAGAGAATAGACCAATAACCAAAGAAGAGATTGAAAACAGTCGTCCCTTGGTAACCTCAGGATGTTGGTTCCAGGACCCCAGAGATACCAAAATTCACAGATGCTCAAGTCCCTGATATAATATGGCATAGTATTTGCATATAACCTATACACATCCTTCCGTATACTTTAAATCATCTCTAGATTACTATAATACCTAATACAACGTAAATGCTTTGTAAATAGCTGTTATAAAGTTTAAAAAATTTTTATTTTTGAGACGGAGTCTTGCTCTGTCGCCCAGGCTGGAGTGCAGTGCCAGCTCTGCCTTCCGGGTTCACGCCATTCTCCTGCCTCAGCCTCCGGAGTAGCTGGGACTACAGGCACCTGCCACTGCACCCAGCCTGTGGTTTTTTTTTTTATTGTTTTACTTTTTTCCAAATATTTTCGATGCACAGTTGGTTAAATCCAACGATCCAGAACCTGAGGATACAGAGGGCTGACCGTAGTTTGAGCTCGCTCCTCAATTCCATGCCTATCCCATGCACCAGGTGCAGCTGGTTTTATTGTTGCAGGCTTTCAAGTTTTCAAAAGACAGAGCTCATGACAAGTAAACTGCTCTATAGAATAGAAAGAAATGGAAAGTGTCCCAATTCATGGTAAAATTGAGCTCATTTCCGAAGAGAACTTTTTTTTTTTTTTTTTTTTTTTTTTTTTTTGAGACGGAGTCTCGCTCTGTCGCCCAGGCTGGAGTGCAGTGGCCGGATCTCAGCTCACTGCAAGCTCCGCCTCCCGGGTTTACTCCATTCTCGTCTCAGCCTCCCGAGTAGCTGGGACTAGAGACGCCTGCCACCTCGCCTGGCTAGTTTTTTGTATTTTTTAGTAGAGACGGGGTTTCACCATGTTAACCAGGATGGTCTTGATCTCCTGACCTTGTGATCCGCCCGTCTCGGCCTCCCAAACTGCTGGGATTACAGGCTTGAGCCACCGCGCCCGGCCATTTTTTTTTTTTTTTTTTTTGAGAGGGAGTCTGGCTGTGTCGCCCAGGCTGGAGTGCAGTGGCCGAATCTCAGCTCACTGCAAACTCCACCTCCCGGGTAGCTGGGACTACAGGTGCCCGCCACCTCGCCCTGCTAGTTTTTCGTATTTCTTTTTAGTAGAGAGGGTGTTTCACCAGATTAGCCAGGATGGTCTCGATCTCCTGACCTCGTGATCCGCCCGTCTCGGCCTCCCAAAGTGCTGGGATTACAGGCTTGAGCCACCGCGCCCGGCCCCGAAGAGTTCTTTTACAAATCATAACCACTAGCCTGTTGAAAACAACAGTACGTTAAGTTACTAGACTATCCTATACCATGTCAAAAATTTTTTTAAGAACATAAGACCTGTAACCATAGCACTTTGGCAGGCCAAGGCCAGTGGATCGCTTGAACCCAGGAGTTCTAGACCAGCTTGCACAACATAGGGAGACCCCAATCTCTACAAAAAATTACCCACTTGTGCTGGTGCACATGTGTCGTCCCAGCTACCTAAGAGACTGACCTGAGAGGATCTCTTGAGCCTGGGAGGTGGAGGCTGCAGTGGACCATGATGGTGCCACTATTCTCCATCCAGCCTGAGCGACAGAATGAGAGTATCTCAAAAAAAAAAAAAAAAAAAAAAAAAAAAAAACAGGCTGGGCACAGTGGCTCATGCCTGTAATCCTAGCACTTTGGGAGGCCAAGGCAGGCAGATCACCTGAGGTCAGGGGTTTGAGACCAGTGGCCTGACCAACATGGCAAAACCTCGTCTCTACTGGAAAAAAAAAATAGGGTGTGGTGGTGGGTGCCTGTAATTCCAGCCAGTCGGGAGGCTGAGGCACAAGAATCACTTGAATCCAGGAAGTAGAGTTTGCAGTGAGCTGATATTACACCACTGCATTTCAGTCAGCTTGGGCAACAGGGTGAGACTCCGTCTCAAAAAAAAAAAAAAAAGATGATTTCACTGTTTAGAGCAGTGGTTCTCACACATTAGAGTGCATCATAATCACCTGCAGGGTTTGTGAAACCAGCTGCTGGGCCCCACACCAGTTTCTAACTCAATAGGACTGAGTTGGGGCCTGAGCATTGCATGTCTGTGTTCCCAGGTGACGCTCATGCTTCCAACTTGAGACCATGCTTTGAAAACCACTAATGTAGAGAAATATACTAGATAATATGTTATGAATATTCTTGAGATATGTGTATATGTTAACTTAGAGGTTTCTGTCCAGTAGAGAAGAAAACGCCCAAAGATGTCAGTTTTATTTCCCAATATGATTTTTTTTTTTTTTTTAATGGAGTCTTGCTCTGTAGCCCAGGCTGGAGTGCAGTGGCGCGATCTCGGCTCACTGCAACCCCCGCCTCCTGGGTTCACGCCATTGTCCTGCTTCAGCCTCCTAAGCAGCTGGGACTACAGGCACCCGCCACCACGCCCAGCTAATTTTTTTGTATTTTTAGTAGAGATGGAGTTTCACTGTGTTAGCTAGGATGGTCTCGATCTCCTGACCTCAGTTGATCCGCCTGCCCCGGCCTCCCAAAGTACTGGGATTACAGGCGTGAGCCACCGCACCCGGCCCCCCCACCTTTTTTTTTGAGACGGAATCTCGTTCTGTTGCCCAGGCTGGAGTTCAGTGGCAGGATCTCAGCTCACTGCAATCTCCGCCTCCAGGGTTCAGGTGATTCTCCTGCCTCAGCCTCCCAAGTAGCTGGGACTACAGGCGCCCGCCACTGCACCTGGCTAATTTTTGTATTTTTAGTAGAGACAGGGTTTCAACATGCTGGCCAGGCTGGTATTGAACTCCTCACCTCAGGTGATCTGCCTGCCTTGACGTCCCAAAGTGGTGAGATTACAGGCGTGAGCCACCAGGCCCAGCCTCACTGTAAGATATTAGCAAGTTTTGTCTCTATATCAGAATACATTTCAGAATGCCCTTCCTGGAGCACTACAGACACTGTCTCTCAAAAAGTTCCTTGAACTAGCTTCACCATGTTGCTGACGCCCTTGCGAATTAAAGAAAATATCTTATACATATTCCTTCATTATTTGTATGAAAGTCATGCTTTTCACATTGTGAAAATTACACTTCAGGCTGGGTGCAGTGGCTCACGCCTGTAATCTCAGCACTTCAGGAGGCCAAAGTGGCCAGATCACTTGAGGCCAGAAGTTTGACACCAGCCTGGCCAACATGGCGAAACCCCATCTCTACTAAAAAAAAATCGAAATTAGCTTGGGGGTGGCACACACCTAAAATTCCAGCTACTTGGGAGGCTGAGGCACAAGAATTACTTCAACCCAGGAGACAGAGGTTGCAGTTAGCTGAGATCATGCCACTGCACTCCAGCCAGAGCCAGAGCAAGACTCTGTCTCACAGAAAAAAAAGAAAAAAAGAAAATTATACTTTGATACAGTATGCTAATATAAAGGATATAATATGGCTTGGCTTTGCATCCCCATCCAAATCTCACCTTGAATTGCAATAATCCCCACGTGTCAAGGGTGGGACCAGGTGGAGATAATTGAATCATGGGGGCTGTTCTCGTGATAGTGAGTGAATTCTCGCGAGATTTGATGGTTTTAATTACGGGTTTTCCCCTTTGCTTGGCTCTCCTTCTCTCTCCTGTTGCCCTGTGGAGAGGTGTCTTCTGCCATAATTGTGAGTTTCCTGAGGCCCCCCCCAGCCATGCAGAACTGTGAGTCAACTTAAACCTCTTTTCTTTATAAATTACCCAGTCTTGGGTATTTCTTCATAGCAGCATGAGAAGGGACTAATGTCAGGAGAACCCGCTCACAATGGTTAATGTGGGTTCTTTTCTATTTCCTAGGCATCTCAGCTGGTTTGAGAAATAAAGGGAAAGAGCACAAGAGAGAGAAATTTAAAGCTGGGTGTCCAGGGGAGACATCACATGTCGGCAGGTTCTGTGATGTTCCCTGAGCCATAAAACCAGCAAGCTTTTATTAGCGATTTTCAAAAGGGGAGGGAGTGCATGAATAGGGTGTGGGTCACAGAGATCACATACTTCACAAGGTAATACTCCACAAAGCAAGTGGAGGCAGTATGAGATAGCAGAACCACAGGATGGGGTGAAATTAAAATTGCTAATGAAGTTTCAGGCACACATTGTCATTGATAACATCTTATCAGAAAACAGGGTTTGAGAGCAGACAACGTGTCTGACCAAAATTTATTAGGTGGGAATTTCCTCAGTCCTAATAAGCCTGGGAGTGTTACAGGAGATGGGCTTATTTCATCCTTTCGCTTTGACCGTAAAAGCTTTGACCGTAAAAGGCGGTTGCCTTAAGGGGGCCGTCTATAG